AGTTGAACAAAGTAACGATGATCTACCAGCATTGGAATTAGTGTTTGGTCAGTTAGTTCTTTCTATATCAGGTAGTGGTTATATCAGCTAATTTTAAGTACGAAAGCTCGATCGTTGTTAGCTACTTACTTTGTGTTGATTGGCTAGTACGTGTTAATTTACAGATGTCACCGAATGTGTCTGATGTTGATGAAGGAATCGATGATTCAGATTTGGCTGTCAGTATGATTTATGTTATCATGCATTCATTCGTGAGTTGAATGTTTGTTGTTTAGGATTCTTTGGCGGCGGTTGCGGAAAATGACAATGAAGACGTGTTCCACGCTCATCCTGGAACGCGCTCACTCACTGAATCATCTGAAGCGACACCAGTTCCGTCTTCAGTCGCTTACACTGATGACTCGATCCTAGATGTCATCCAGCTGCCAACTTCTGCAGGGAATCGTGAGTGGAATGGGGTCCCCACTTATCTATATCTTTTACAAAGTTAATTACGAAAAGATGCTTTTCAAACGCTATTAGTAGATAGCAAAGTTCATTCGAATTTTTTTTCCCGTCATTCTAAACACTTAGCTTGGAATAATACATTAGAGCTAACATAAGAATTTGCAAGTTCTCGCCAGTCGAATGCAACTTTGTTTTTGTTGATCCAAAGCTATTAAAATCTTTGTCACATTGCCTTTTTTGGACCATATTGTAAGAAGTTGTGTTGTTCCGAAGTAGAAGTATCCGATTGGGAAGATATCCGAGTAGTTGTTTTGTAGTCCAGCTAATTTGGCTCCTACAGGGCCGAAGCTATCTGCATAGCGCACTTTAGTTCAAACCACTACACCAAAGTGGGTTTAGCACTGCTACGATATCCTGCTACAATCACTTGTTGCACCCCTTGAACTCCTAGTGCTAATTACAAGGGGGTACTTAGCCGAAGTTACGATTCAAGGAGTGATGTATGATAGTAGATGCAGTTTTAGACGCTGATTCCGATACTGCCTTCCATATCCGGCGTTTCTTTGGAAGAAGTTGTGAGCGTTTTCCAACGATGGCACCACCTCCATCAAGGTGAACTATGTTTGGTGAACGAAATGGCAGATAGTGTAGCGGTAAGTGTGCAGTTTGTTAAGCTGATTGATGCAGGTTCGATTCATCTCGCTTTTAAACTCTTTTTGCA